CCAGGCTCTTGGTCCTGGGCATGATCATCTCTGCACTCTCCTTCCCTCTAACCCAGTGAGGGATCTTTACTGGTTCTGCAGAACAAACAAGACAAGTGAATACAAATGCAAAAAACCCCACAGTTTTCAGAAAAAATTTTTGTAACATATCTTTAAAACTCACCCAGATGAACATCCAGTCCATCCTGTTTCATGGCATTGTACATGTACTTAATTGCCATTTCCAGGTTCTGTGACCCACTGACCCGGTTCCCTATTGCGTCAGTAAAGTCAGCCAGCCGTCTGTACGAGCGGTTCTGGGCCGCACCAAATACAGCTAGCTCAATGATGCGCTTGGCCACATCTGCATATCTTCCCACCTCTGCTGCTACATCTGGAAATGGGTTCCAAAAGAACAAACTGTATTTTTCTTTTTGTAAAAGTCTGACCAAATTTACAGCAGAACAACTAGGATTTATTTTACTGGATTATATCAACAATAACCTGGTTACATTTCTGAATAGATAGAAATAGTTTGGTGAGGGTGATACAATTTCACTCATGAATTATCACTGTGAAGTGTTACCCTATCTATAAAAGAAACTTTGGCTGTTTGTGGGTCTGGAGTTGAGTGTTAACACAAAGCCAACAAGTAAAAACATCAATTTTTACCTTAGAGAGAAGCAAATGCTGCAGCTTGTCAATTGGCTTTAGGTTATAAGGCCATGCACAATCAAATTTTAGTCCAATAGATTAAAAAAAAAATTAGCAAGGAGAAAGAATGTTAATCAGCTAAAGATTTTCCAAGAGTTTGTCCCAGAAAATTGTCTCCAACCGGGTTAATCTCTGCTCCAATATATCTGACTCAAAATGTGAATTACCAGCAAATTTCACAAAAGCCTGGTCATTAACTCTTCATTTAGTTCGGGTGTGTTAGTGCAGCTAACCTATTTTTTTCCCCAAGTATTTGTGTTGCCTCTGATGTAATGGTGCCCTGAGCAGTTAGCCATTATGTCCAATGACAAAAAAATCTTTACTGCACAAAACTGTTTGAGAAGAACAGTGGTTTTCATTTATTGGATTGTTCCAAATTTTGAGTAAAGGAGACTACTACGTTTGAAAAAAATAAACAAATAAGGCTAGGTGGCTATAGGAGTTCAATAAGAAGGCAATGATTTGTGGGTTTTTTTGTTGTTGTTTTTTGCACAAACAACCGGATTATTTACCTTTCTTTGTGGTTTCATTCGATGCAGCCCTGATAGCAGGACCTCTGAGGGGCTCAGAGAGAGTAAAGTCGACAGAACCAAGAGACAACAAGACAAACACAAAGAGAGGAAGGACAAAGACCACTTTCACCTCCAGCGTCATCTGTGGAAAGAAATGTCAAAGTAACCAAATATTCATTAGACACAGAGCCAATAAAAGCTACGGGTTACATTTGGTGTGCATATGATTTCTAACATTAGAGTAGCAAATAAATGTGCAATAAATAAATAAATGTGAGCTCGGTATAAATTAAAACTCCGCCCTGAGCAAGACACACAAACAAAAAACCCACATGTAAGAGATAATAGGATATAAAAAAAAACTGACAATTCTATTCAACAGCTAATAAGTCAATGAAACAATTAACGTAATTAAAAAAGTGAAATACAATCACTTTAAAAATCAACAGGCACAAACCCTTGAGGTTGTCATCGTTGACGCTTCGAGGTCTTATGAGGAGTTAAACGTCGCCGCATACAATGAAGAGATGCTCACGTTTATTTCCGTATCATTTTGTAGTGGATGCAAACTTCCGGCTGGCGGCAGGGTTTTCAAAATAAGAGCATTACTTATGTTTTTAATTTTGCGTAAAATTTTCTTTTGCTTATATTGCCCACGCATTTAAAACATGTAATATCTGTAAATTAATTTATTAAAAATAACCTTTGAAGTATTCGAAGACGCACAATAGAAATAATTGTGTATTTTACTGTGTCATTTACTTTGAAAGAATATCTGTTCTACAAAAGCCTGGAATTTGGGAAATCAAAGTTGAACATTGGTCCTATTGAAAAGAAACGAAGAGAGAAAAAGTTTTCTTTTTTTTTCTTCGTTTGGTTTTGTATTTTATCTCTGTTGTGCAACACAGTATCATGTTAATTACAGTTTTAAAAACAAAATTATATGTACTTTTCTCATTCTGCTAAACCACTAAGTCTTTTTTTCTTTGACTCCTACAAATTTAAATTTAAAGCATTTAACCAGCTGTGTATTTCTGGACAAAAAAAGAAAACCATCCATGCCTAGAAAATGTTTTGGATCACAACACCCAAAGGTTTGTAAAAGAACAGACAGAACAGTTTGATTATGATTGAATTGAATGTTTGACAGAAATTAATGATTCTGTTTCCTCACACAGAGAAGTTGTTAAAACTCTTTAAAGAAAAAAAACCCACCTGGCATAGTGTTTACTGGGCTTGGGCTGTGTCTGATTCCTCGAGTCATCTTTGGACCCACTGGTGCCATTACTCTGTAAGCTTTTTGTTTTCATAGAACATAAGCTTGACTTTTTTATTTTACTGCCTATCTGTACTAAACTGAGCCAGACGAAGATGTTGTTTCTTTCAAAACCTCTGACAGGTTAACTGACACATTTGAGTTAACTGGAGACACATCTATTCATGTATGTTAAGGCCACATCTTGAACACACTGCTTTCTCATTTGACACAATGGCAAAGTCAAAAGAAATCATCCAAGATATAAGAAAGAGAACTGTGGAGCTGCAAAAGTCTGGTTCCTCCCTGGGAACAATTTCCAGATGCTTGACGCTGTAGCATTCATCTGTTTATGCAATTATATGCAAGTATAGAAACGATGGGAATGTCCACCATTATACCAGTTGGGAAGGAGACAAGTTTTGTGAGCGTATTTTGGTTTGAGATGTTAAAATTGACCCCAGAAAAAAGTCAGAAAACCTTGTGAAGATCCTGCCTGAAGCTGGTGGGACAGTCTCATTGTCCACAGTGAACTGTGTCCTGTTTTGGACACTGATTGAAAGACCACTCAGCAAGACGAAAGCTAGAACTCCAAATGAAAGACATAACAGGCAGGCTGCAATTTGCAAATGCACACAGGGACAAACATCTTCATTTTTTGAGTCATATCCTGTGGTCTGATGAAACTGAAGTGGTTTGTCCATAATGACTATTATTACATTGTATAAAAAAGGGGGCAGCTTGTAAGCCTGGGAACCATCCCTATTGTGTAGGGGGGTTTGTAGCATCATGCTGCGGGACTGTTTTGCTACAGGAGGAGGTGTACTTATAAAATAGATGGCAATCATGAGAAAAGAACATTGTGTAGAAATATTGAAGCAACATCTTAAGACATCGGTCAGGAAGTTAAAGCTCAGGTGCAAATTGGTCTTACAAATGGACAATGATCTTAAGCAAACAGCCAAAGTGGTTATAAAGTGGCTTATGGAAAACAATCAATGTTTTGGCGTTGCCATCACAAAGCTCTGATCTCAATCCCTCAGAGAATTTGTGGGCAGATGTGAAAAATGTGTGCAAATCATGCATGAATGTCATGTAACCATATGCACTGTCTGCATTGTGCATGAGCTGAGGCCTAAAATGGTGTTGGTACATCTGGATTAGTGCAGGTTCTTAGCAATTGCTTCACAGCTAAATATGTAAGCCTTAATCTTCTTGTAAACATTTCAGTTGCAATAATAATGCCCAGTGCTTGGAATGGATTGTATCCGCAGTGCAAAAAACACAGCACTTATCTGCCCACATCCCAATCTGTGGTTTGCATCCTCCAGCTTTCTTTACCACTAATCCCCAGCATTCCTCTGCAATCACTGTTGTCCACTTAAATTGTTCCACCCAAATTAAGTTAGTTTCACAAAACCTACTTTTATACAATATGAGATTATGTAAAGTGCTTTTGAACTTGTAATTTACTTTAAGATGTTTGCTGTCACACAGAGGACAGTAAGACTTTAGGAACATTTTTACCCCTTTATTTATGTGTGTATATACAGTACATTTTGGAGTTCCCTCTCTCCATCCACCAGGTACAGAAAAACTTCTGATTATTCGAAATAATCCAAATGTTGATTAATTAGCTTCAGCCATTTACTATTTTACAATATAAGAATAAAAAAGAAAAATGGCGAACTAGTGATCTAAAGATGTACAAATAGGTGCTTGCACAAGATTGTGAAAGTATTTGTATCATATTTCTTCTGTTTCTGCTTTTTTGTTACACCTAAATCTTTCGAACTAAGCAAATTTTAATAATAGATAAATATGACCACAGCACAGACAAAAGGCAGAAGCCAAGTTCATGTATTACAGAAAAACAAAAGATAAGTGTGAAAAACTATTTGCACCCGAAACCTAATAATTGCGGGTGCCACTCTTCATGGCAACTGCCATTAAGGGCTTGTGATCCTGAATGGCGATGTCTTAATTTTCACCCACTTTTCTTTGCAAAATTGCCTTCATTCAGCCAAATGGGAAGATTCGTAAACCTGAACGACTCATTCAGGGCCCTGCAAAAATATCTCAATCAAAATTTAATACCTAATGTAATCCATTAGGTATTAATGTAACCCATTCATTGGCAGATTTATTGGAGTCATCACGTCATCACAAAGTTAAGATTGGTCATGTTCCAAAAAGTGACTGATATCACTTTTTGACAACAAACAGTTGTCAAAAAGTGACAACTTTTGGGGTCAAACAGTTCAGACATAATTCAACAAAGTTATTTTTTGCCTCTTAATTTGCATTTGCTTTGCTCATAATAAATGAAATAATTAAGAAAAGTCTTTTTGTGTTTTTCTGGCAATGCTTTCTTGCACAAATGTACTTACCAAGAGGTTACAAAGTAATGTACAGACTTATCCACAGATTCATTTGGAGATTGTTCAGTTGACATAAGTTTGCAAAACCACAATATTGTTTTATGTTAGCAAAAATTCAAAAATGTTCAGATTAAAAAAAGGCCACTTTCAACATTGCAGTAATGTCACATTTTTATTGAGAAGTAAATTTTATGAGATCCACCAACAACACAGTTCCTCCCACAATGCATCAGCGTTTTTGGTGAGTTGATTGGTGCTCACATGATTGTTTTTGTTTCTTTGACTACAAACAAGTCAGTCCCTCTATCTTCAACACTGATAAAAACAATCATTTTTAACATGCTCCATTTTAAGTATGTACCAATTAAATTTATAAGATTTGTTTTTTAGATAAATGACATCTATGCTGCAAATCAACATTGAAGTTTGTCAACGACAAACCTCAACGTAGCTGACATTAGAAACAGCTTACGCAAGAGGAAAAAAGCATCTTTTATTCTAATCCCCAGTATCACAGACATAATGTGGTAATCTTAGAAAAGAGTATGTGTAAATTATGTATAAATTAAGATTTAATTTACTTGCCATTTATGACAAAAGACAGAATGACGCATACGTCACCGTGTCTCATTACCTACTGGATTGTAACAAATGCTAAGCCACCGTTTGTTTGCCTTTGTTCTGGTTTTAGCAACGGCCAAAGTCTTCTGGACAGCGCTGCGGTGACCTCTGACATAGATTATGTTGATTTTGATTGAGTGCAGCTCAAAGGTCAAAACCCAATACTAATACTGTAACAGCACAGCAGACGAAAGCCCTGCGAGAGGCACTGACGGTTTGAGTGTTCGCTAAACACCACGTTAACAGAAGGTCGGTGACCACATCCTCCCTTTTATTCCAGCCACAGTGAATAGGTAGTTTGCATTTGCATTCAGATAACTTCATAGTGTCTCTTCTATGAACAGATATGGAAACAAAAAAAAAAAAAGACAATGACTTTTGATTTAACATGTAACGAAATACGGCATGAAAAGAAACACCAATTCAGTAACAGTTAAATTCTTTATGACATTAAACAAAATGAATAAAAAGGCCTGAAATCTCTCATTTGGTAATATCTTGAAAATGAGGCCTAACTATTTTCTCAATCCTCTCTGAATCAACCACTAATCTCAGTTATCCAGATAAAAGCATTTCTGGATCATCTTCCTGGTATTCAAAAGGATACATTTTGAATCTCCAAGAAGCATCTATAAAACAGTCTTCAACATATATTATAGGCAGTGAGTAAATAAAGTCCATACATAATAAAACATCTAACCTTCCTATTAAAATATTGCATCAGCTGGGTGTATATGTATGTGCTAATAAAAATGAATACCACCCTTTTGTCATTGCTGTAACCTGTATTATTACTGCAGCTCACGCTAAGCTTCTTTGGCCATTTGAGGTAAAGTTTAACAACCAGGTAATAAGCCTATAAAACTTATGTACATGCATATTAAACCAATAAAAAGAATATTGTAGTTCAGAAACAGACCTTTATAGCCGACACTAAAATAATAAGTAACATGTAATGCTTTTACTTTAACTCCAAACCCTCTTTCACAGCTGCAAACAGTGGACAGTTGAGAAGGAATGTGCTCTGGCGGTCACCAGACACTTTGGTCACTTCTGTGGGTTCTGAATTATAGTCATTAGCTTTGGCTCTACCTGTTCCACATGCCTGCAGAACTCAGTCACCAAGTCAGATAATCCTGAAAATATAAGAAATGTCTGAAACATGCGATACCTGAAGGACTGATCGGGAATGGAAATCTCTTGGCGTACAGAAATATATCTTCTAAACATTACCATCAATTTTTTTAAAAAAAGATAAAGCATATTTATTCTATTTGGTCAGTTTCTACAACTGTTAAATACCTTCAGAGAGGAAAAACAAAAAACATACATGTATATTGAACTTGTACCTGCAGCGTAAGAAAATCTCTCATGGCAATACTGGACAGCTTATGAAAAGATTCATTGTCATAACAAAAATATTAAGATTTCAACAAAGAAGCATAAAAAATGAAATACAACAGAAGTGAACTAACAAAGAAAGCATGACCTCAACAAGAACAGGGTTTGTTTTAAGGACCCTTTGAAATACTAATATATGCAGTACCATTTTAATTAAAAGCAATCAAAACTACTGGAGGCAGGTTTTCTCTGGGTTTTTTTCCATCTTCTTGTTGAACTCCTTTAAAAAGGGACAATGAATTACAGTGTGATTCAGCTGAAAAGGTCTGAAGGCACAGTGTTAGAACAAGTTTTAATTTGATAAACATACAAAATTAGAACAACTGTGGTCCATTTAGAGTGAAAGAAAAGTTCCTTTTAAAAAAAAAAGTTCATTCAATATTTTTGCCACGGTCCTTCCCAGGAAGGAAATGACACAAATGCATTTTAGGAGGAAAGCATTTGTTTCCTTATGACTCTTTCTGCATAGAAAGCTGAACATTAAGTAGAGAAAAGCATAAAATGGTGGCAAACACAAACAGCCCGGGATGGATGAGGATGCAAAAAAACAAAACAAAACGTATGTCTGCAGCACTGGAGGAGAACAGACACTTCAAACTTCATCTGAAGGAATCTTCTTCAGCTGTTTAAAGATCCTTATTTAGTCCTGATCGGAAGGAGCCAGACTCCACATTAGATTGACTCTGCTGGTCAGTTCAGGCATAGAACTCCTTGGTGGGCGCTTTGTGATAAGCTGTTGCAGACATTTTGGTGTCTCCCAAATCGTAACTTCCTTCATCCTTCTTCTTCATGCGGTAGGCGAGGAGGAGGAGGAGGGAAATGGCACAAAGGAATCCAATCACTCCGCAGGCAATGACAGCTGAGTACAAAAATGAGAAAAATTGACTTTATTTGCAAACTTAAAGTGATACAAAGTCATCTTGAAAAAAAAAATTCAGAGCCTTATGTGAATTATAAATCTAACTAACTTATAAAACTTATCCTCACCTGCAAGAACCTCTGTCTTCTCCCACAGGTTCTCAGAGGTGACTTCCTGTGGAGAGTTGAAATTAATCCGCAGCTTGTTTTTGTCACTTTCAACGTTGGTCTGGTCTTTGGTTTTCTCTAGGATATCTTCATTCATAGGAGGGCTGAAGTCAGTAGTTGCATCAACAGGACTGGCACTTGTAATCAGGTCTTCATCGACAAAGTTAGATGTGGAATCTGGAATCTGTAGACATGACACATAGACATGACACATTTGAAAACAAACCTGGCACATTTTCTAGTTTTATTGCTTTTAATTAGTGTTCACATACTCCACAGTGCAGCTATTTACATTTTATCAACAAAAACTAGAAAGCATGCAACAAAACCTTTTCAAATTGTAAACAAAATTGCTTCAGCAGATTTTTTTTTTTTTGTTCGGTTTCATTTTCCCATTATATCAAATTACAAAATATATGAAAAACACAAGCAGTGACTGAATGTGTGTGACCATGTATATGTGTATAGAAGCAAATTATAGCTGATTAAAATAAAACTGACATCATCAATGAATAAATTAACATAACAGGGACATAACACCACCAACAACAACAACAACAACAATAATAATAATTATAATAATAACAAAGAGTAAAATTAAAATGATGTCTGTTTGTTCTACCTCATCAGTGTCGTCTGCTGTAGGTTCTGGATCCTGCCTGCCTGCCGGTGTGGTTTGTGGGTCAGAAACGGAGCTCACAGTCGGCTGTGCTGGAAGTGGCAGCACCTCTTTGTAAAGGATGCTCTGAGAGATGTTCAGGAACCTGAACACTTCGTCTTGATCTGACAGGATACTGAAACCTGTGTCGAAAGTAGATTTTAGGTGTAAGAAAATTTTTATTTAAACTATTGAGAGAAAGAGTCAGCAAGACTTTCAGAAAATTAATGATGTCTGAAAACCCCCAAGACTGACAGTAATGATAGCTTTGCAATAATGAATATTCATTAATTCAAAAGTATTATTTCAGTAAATGCAGATACTCTGTACAGTTGAGTGATTAAAACATAGATAAAAATCACACTTGTTTATATAACTGGTCTCTTTTCTCATTATCACAAAAAAATTACACAAAATATTATGATGAAATTTAAGTTTGTATCTCCCTTCTCTCTGCTGGGATTTAAAATTTGCATTGAAATAAAACCATAAAAATGAGCTTACAAAAGCAAAGCCACTCTTACCATGGTCTCCAGACCCTGACCCAGAGCCAGATCCGTCATCTTCACCGTCTTCATCATCTATGGGGACGTCACCTGATCCTGGTTCCTCTATGTAAAGGTCATCTGCTTGGGAAGGAGTTGAAAGGGACAGGACAAGGAGCTGGAAGACAGAAGAAAAAGAGTACAGTAATTTAAGGGGGGGACACACAAAGAAAGACAAAAAAGGAAACGAGAGACACTGATGCACATAAATTCACAGTTTCAGAAATCCACCCACTAATTGAAACCACGTGAAAACCTCTGCAGATCTAGAGTAAGACAATACCTCTCGTAACCAGTGATGTATGCAGGCCAAATATGCTGGAAGTGTGCACTGCTGTCTGTGAGAGAAACCATGGTGTGAGCTGCAGCCATTCTATTGTACGAATAGTTGGCCTAAGCTGGATTTATGCTCATTTCATGTGTCATGATTGTAATTTGTGATACTCCCCAGAGCCAGACAGCTGAGAACAAAGTGTTTTTGAGTGGGAGTGAGAGAGAAAGAGATAGAGCAGCTTCAAAGACAACAGACAAAGCAGACAAAGTGCATACACACGTTAAAAAGGTTACTGCCGTCGCTCTGGATACCCTCCTAGCAACCCAGCGCTCCACAAATGTGACGTGCTAAAAACCATTGAGAAACTGCATGCAAAGCCCAGTCAGTGAGGAGCTGATGCAACGAACACACCAGGCAGGCAAAATGGAAAACAAGAGAAGCCTGATAACGACTGAAATGCTTAAAAAAAAGTGAAGGAGAGATGGGAATCACACAGTTGGTGTTAAGACAGAAAGATACACACAGACATGGATGAATATGGTCCTTTGAGACTTCAGCTATGTCTGGTATGTATACTATGCTTCCACTAACACAGGTGCTGAGAGAGTTAGAGAGAACGCCTGGAGAAAGGGAGAGAGCGGAAGAAGAGACACAGAAAAAGTTATTTGTCTGACAAAACAGGTGCTGAAGACAACAAAAGGTGTGAGGTAAAGTGACTGACTCAGTTATACTACGACTACTGCTAATGACTCAAAGTCAGCATTACAAAGAGATCATCAGTATCAGCTTTAGAGAAACAAGCGAACGTGCGGTTAAAAAACTCACTACAACAGCAAATTTTTGTCATATGCTCTCGCTTAAGGTGTTCAATGGACCAAGCTTACAAAACAATGAACTCCTGTTTCTGCCTCTATTAGCTGTGGCTCACATCTCTTACAGACAAATGACTCATTTGAGGTAAAACTAAAGCACACCGAATATGCTCACATTGTGGCAACAAAGAACATTTCCACAGGTTTCTAAAGGCAGTAGAATCTAGGCTAATGCACAACATGGCTAAATAACAGAAGAGGCTCCTGTTTTTCGCCAACAGTTAAAAATCCAGATGATAATGGATTCAAATCTCATTCCTATTATGTTGGAATAAGATGAAAAGGACCGAACTTTTATCTTATTCCAACAGATACTGCCAACAATTAGACCAAATGGCTTTAAATTCAGAGTCTGTGCTGATGAAGAAAGATAGTTGTTCTCTTTAAACTGTTTGAGATTCACCTCCAATTGAGGCCAGACATCAGTTGTTTAAACTGCGTCTGTTGCAAAGCAAAAAGAGCGGCTCACGCCCACCTCTACAATGGCCTCAGCACGGCCCTTGGGATTTTTCCACATTTACTCACAGGACAACTTCAAAGTGTCTTGTTGAGATCTGAAGTAATATATGAACAAGAAGTGGTGCAGAAAGGTGAAATTAAAGAAAGACAATTTGCTTTGACTTTTTTTTCCAAACAAAAATCTGAAAAGCGTGCATTTGGACTCTGCCCTACTCGGTCACTCCTTTATAGAACCAATTAAGAGCTGTAATGCAAGCCTTTTAACATATGTCACCACAACAAAACACAATTGTTCCCCTCCTTTTTTTTAATGTGAATTCATTCAGACTCACACTGATGGAATGTAGAGGTTATAATAAACAGCAAGTTTCCAAATCTTGCACAACAGCCAACCAAATAGATTCCAGTCTAGAATTTACTGGGCCATACAAACACAGTAATTGCTTTAAATCAAAACCATTTAATCGTAAATCTAGCTGTAGGGCCACTCTTCTGCCAGAGGGTGGATCCCCACTTCTTTTTTTTAGCCTTTTAGACTTTTTTTCTGCCCACACCATGATTCTGCCACCACTATGTGTCACATTGAAGTTTGGGTTGTATTGTGACAAAAAAGTTGATTAAGTTTTCAGATTATTAGGAATGTGTCAGGACACATTCTTAATAGCAGTGACTTTGCTGCATCAAAGGCCTTCAAAGACTGCAATGAGTTTGAATTTAATTTAGGCTTTAGTGAACTGGCAGCTAATGTTGGGGACTTCATGAGTCCTCATCATCATCAAAAGATAAAAAAGGAAGATAACTGATATAGCTATCACAATATTACAACATTGTAATTGAATGCTTATATTAAATGAAATAATAAGACTAACCCAAGATAATGCCCTTTAAGCAATTTGTTTTAGCCTACTAAACGTTAAACAAATATTATATGTTTTGGTGGATAAGTCATTCTAATATTTTATTCCAGTAATTTTTTGTTGAACTATTACTTTGATTAATAGACATAAAGACCATATTTTTCTGTTAAGGTAATGTTTTAATAAATCTAATGGAAACATATAACATTTATAAGCTATAAAGAGAATCATAAGTATCCACACTTGAAATCAACAGAGCAGACCTCATGATTGTAAAAAAAAAAGAGAACAATTATGCATAAAAAGTAAATTTTCATACAATCATAACATCCCTCCTTGCTTATTGCTTTTTCCTATTAAGTGAACAACAATTGTTGAAACATAAAAGCCAAAATGCAACAAACGAGTCAATACTCTGTGCTTTCCTCGCTAAAGATATGTTGTGTGTGACAGAGTTTGCTGGTAGATGTGACACAAAGGTCAAACATCTGGAAAACACACATATGCAACGTACATAGCGTATACACTGGTGTGGTTTCCTAAAGCTTTATCAAACTGAAGAGTTTACTGGAAACAGCTGGAGCAGGGCAGTGCAGCTATTTAAACATTCAGTGGGGGTGAGTGTGTTGGAAGAGTGTGTTATAAAATTTAGCAACCCCCTCCTAGCGTGTGTTTCTGGGGCTGACATGTAAATATTTCTCCTGGGAGATGGGAGCCAGTGAGTAGAGACAAGAGAGAGATTGTGTAACAGGCCAAAGCACACAGAGAGCCTGTCATCGTCATCGAGATACCTGCTTTACACAATACTGTGTAAAGAGAATGCATGTTTGATCAAGGCAATAAGGAACAGAATGTTTGACCACCTCAACATCAAGCCTGGATCTTTTTAACAGCTTCAGCGGTGTCAGAAATAAATAAATCTGAGCATTTTTGTTGTAGCTCAGCAGGTCTTTGTGATCTTTAAACTTCAGAGAGTAGTTTGCAGACGTCTAACTGTGACATTATCTGTCACTAAGGGGTTCAGCATGGAGATAATGACAGAGTAGACCTGTAATGTGAAGGTCCTAGTTCACACAATAGGAAAATCATTAGAATGTTTTAGCTACGGGAAGAAAGGAGGAAGAGGGATCCTCATCGAAAAATAACAAACAGCCTGCCTTGGTTTATTGGGTCGGACCTGAAGTGGTTGTCTTATCTCTAGCCAACAATGCCGTGACTCAAAACTGTTAAAACCTGAAACTGCAGCTACGCCGCACACTGCCACAAGTAATACCAGCCCACTTTTATTTACATTTCATTATATCTCATTTTACTGCGCAGTGGAAGAGTAATTCCACTGCCACATGTGCATTTTGGGAGCAGGCTTTTAAAGTGCCATAAAAAGACTCATTAAAACCAGTGTGACAATGTGTCACTGTCTTCCTCCTTCCTTGTGTGGTTCGGCAGAAAACTACGTGTGTTCCACGCAGTAACGGGCCTGCCTCGACAAGTCCAGAGGGACTCACTGTGAGTCATCCATCCAGAAAATGACACAACTACCAGCCCACATGCTGGCATGGACCAGCAATTTAGGCCTGGAGCCTGTATTAGAGACATGAAGTAAGGAGGAATCTGAGCAGAATGGTGAAATAAGTATCAGCCACCATTCTGGGAAGATAATGTTTCTGTTGCCTCTGAGAAAAAAAGAAACACAATTAGAGATGCTTTTTTGGGGTGGAGGAGAATGCAAGGCTTTCATTTTCTTTAAGGCCTGATTTTCAATGGTTTCCTGAGAACTGCAACAAATGATAGAGAAAGGAAATTCCTCAATGAAGGTAGGAAGTTAATCCCCCATTTATGCATCGATGCATGACTCCCATCAGCCACTTCATTGTAATGAAACTAAAATGCATCAACGGTCAACACGTTCACCTGGTTCCCGGTGATTTGGTTTTTCACCTGGAACCACTAACAAGGAGTTTTTGGAATTATTATTTTGGTTTTAAAATACATAAGACTATAAATAAATGTAGATAATTTTATATTTTTGGGTTGATTCTCTTTTGTATTCTTCTACAAAAAAAAAATCACTGACGAAGAAAAACTGAAAGTTTGTTCCTTTAATGACCTAAATTTTCCAAGCAAAACATGCTTAAAATAGTCTGTGATGTTACAAGTTGTTTTTTTTGTTTGTTGTTGTTTTACTTTTATTTGTGATTCTTGCAATCTAAAATTACAGATTTTAGATTGCAAATCTAAAATCTGTAATTTTCAAATGTTTGTGGTCAAATTGTCAAATTTCTTAAGGCTTTATTTATGCCATGACATAATCTTACAAAACCCTAACATTGCTTTTCGCTTCTCTCTTTCTCATCAAGTTAAATAAAGTCGTGACATCACTGGTCATATAGGGTAGAGGTGTATATATATACATACACATCATTTCAGATATGTTTTTGTGATCTTTATTTACAATATTTGTACCATAATGAAACAAAGAAGCAGGACAGCGCCTTTTTGATGTACATAGTCCTATAGTCACTACGTTCTCAAGATTTATGTGCCTTTCAGGGAGTATGATGAAAAAATATTTATACTTCTCTTTGCCAATGGATTTGTTTTTACGATCCAAAGCTATACTTCCACTGTAAATTTCACCACAGAAAAAAGAAATAGCCATTTACAACAATTTATTTGGACTGTGTTTTGTTAATTTTAAAATATAACTTTTGTTATGTCATTATTGCTGGTTTCCAATAAAAAAAATTATCCAAAATCCAAATCACACTGGGAATATCAAAGTACATGCAGTAGGCTTGTGTGATTATGGAGTGAGAATAGTGGGGAGTCTCAGTCAGTTTTGCTTAGTTCAAATGACCAGATTGATTTTTCAAGGTGATTTATTTGAGATACAGTTTAACATTACAAAGGATCAAGGCTGATGCCCAGTGATTGGTTGGTGAATCTATATTTGCAAAACAGATGCATTTAAAATGAATTTAAACAGAACTTCAAAAACTGAATTGGAGAACAAATCAACTTTCGGAGTTGAGACTGCCTGAGGTTTCACAAATCATCAAGCCTGGGGTCTTACGATCCTCTTCAAAAATTAGACTCCATCAAAAATGAAAGAAAACTATAATGTGTATTCATGTGTATCAATGCATATAGAGTTGTTTTTTTTCCCCCCAATGCTACTTTGTGACTTGGTAGATCAAGAAGTCTGGCAGCTACTGATCTACAGAATAAGAACAAACAAAACAAAAATCCAAACAGTATATCCATAACTCTAAGTCTTGCTCCCCACCCCTCATTTAGCAGAATGGTCTCAAGTTTCATCTCCCTTTCTTTCACAACATACAGTCCATAAATCTTAAAGAATCGTTTTATGGGGTCTGTGGCTCTCACTCTGGATTTTTTTTTAAAAGTCAAGTCTTATAAACAGATTATTATTTTTAATACCTAACACAACAAACAACTGCATTTTATCCTATTGTCTCCAAGAAACTTTCATGGAATGGAACTGGTACAGCTGTAGCTGTAGAAGAATCCTGCCCAAATATTGATATTTCTTTTCAGATTTAAATTATTATTTTATTATTATTACTTTTTTAATCTAATCTGTGTATTAAACCCGAAGCCCAGGGTAAATAAATGGGAGTTCAGATCTCCAGCTTTTGGTTTAAATGTCAAAGCTTTGAGCCAGAGGCCAGCCAGACTTGTGAACTTGACACCAGCTGGTGGAAAGCTTGAACTTGGCTGTAATCCACAACATGATTATCAGCCAACATCTGTGTTCGTAACAGCATTTTTTACATTACCGCTTGATAATGTCATCCATGTTTACGTTTAACCTAATTATTTGTGGCACACTTTTGATTTGAAATATATATATATGAAAGTCTAAACATGAGACTCTATAAAATAAACAAATCACACCGGAAAAACAACTTCGAACATCATGAAAACACACTTTGGAGAAGCTCTGGAAAATGTTGACAATTCTTCAGGAGGAACGTTAAACGGAAAAAAAAACAAACAAAACCACCTGAACAAAAACAAACGTTACGAGTTTTCCAAACGCATTTTAACGGCAGGAAAGTACCTAGCCTGGACGTAAAAACGAGAACAAAACATTTAAGTTTGTCATTAACTACGTGAGCGAAGCCACCGTGAAAGCAGAACCCAAACTAAAAGCTCGTTACCTTGTCGCTGATAAATCCAGTCGACAGCGCGACGAGGAAGAAAAGGCACAGATTCTTCATCTTGACGACCAACAAAACAACGGAAAAAAGAAAAGAAAATGTACAAAGAAAAAAAACCTTAAGAATTAAAATCACAAACCGAGAAGATATCAATAGTTAAGATAACTGATGAGAAAACAGAACTGCTCAAAATTTTCGTGACGGTTCGACGCTGGAAGCGTAAATAATTTGGTTAAATCTCAGATACGTCGGGAACAACTCCCCAGCTCGGTGTGAAGCAAAGTTCCACTGTGGAGATGTTTAGACTGGCTGTGCGGCTGGGCAGCGCAATGACGTCAGCGCGGCGTGACGTTCATTCATGAAGGTGATGGGTTGGGGAGGGGGCGGAGGAGGGTTTGTTATTCTGAGATTGGTTGACTTGACAACGCGTTTATTTTTGTGATATTTTAAAAGACGTCTTTTCCACCTCGCCTCAGTTGTATTTTCTTTATTTTCATAAGTAAAATAATGCGAGCTTTTTTTTTTTTTCAATCGCTCAAGTGAAGATAGCTACTTATGGGTCCCGACGTTTTAATAAAGTATGAAACAACCCAAATGTTTGAGGAAAAACATCTATAAAGACATGTTTGATGGAAAAAAAGAAGAAAAAAAAAAGAAATCTTATTGTGCCTCTGACAGCAAAAACAGAAAATTCTCAAAACAATCATAAATCAGGCTGGTTTGTGACATGGTGCTGCAACTCAGATAGATGGAGCAAGGCGGTATGGTCTTTGCACACAGGTTGTGCCCTCTAGTGAAGAATGATAGTCAGAACAGAAACTAACATTACCTTTTTGAATTAAGAATTAAAAACGAAAATGCAAAAAAAAAAATTATAGCCCCTTTGGCTTTGTGACAGATTCCCAAACTGATAAGTATTAATAATGTCATTTCTCGTCTGTGTTGATTTTTAAGGGTTTTCAGCCTATACTTCACCTTGTTACACTGGTTCTATTTAAGTGATTTTTTTCCAATTCTAAAGGTCTACTAGTAATCAGACCAAGTGAAACGTTGTAATCTCAGTTAATTGTTTAATAAGAGAACAGTGACATGATAATAGGAAGGTTGAATATGTCTTTTCTCTCAATAAATTATTTGAAAACTTTTTGCACTTACTCAGGTTATCTATAATATCAATATGTTTCATACAAAACTTTATATTTTTAACCTAAAAGCTAAACCAAAAGGGCAATTTCATCAATTAGTGTAAACCACATAAAACAAACCATTAAGACTTAAGCTGCTAATGCATTAAGTTACTGATAGGATTTAGTTTGCCAAAATCAAAAATACTTGAACTGAAATGCCAAACACCTATTATAGCTGAACTTTTTTATTGAGACCATCTTAATGGTGTAAATAGAAATGCTTTTTAATAAGTATATTTATGACAGTTAACTAAAGTCCCTTTGTTAAGTGTTGAATAATAAATCACACTAAATGCTGTTGGCAAAACTTACAAAAATCAGTGCCAATTATTACTTGAAAAGCAAAACAGTGAAGCACTAGTTTTTTGCAGAGGGGCTTAAGATTTTGCAATCAAACCAACATTTGAATGTTTCACTGTTTTAATATATTAGATAATCTCCAGAAAAAAAACTAACTGTAATTTAAGAACTTTCATCTCGAAGGTTTCAAATACCTGCAATTTTCATTGTCAGCTGCCTGATTACCTTCACCTGTAAGAGGTAATTTTTTCTCCAACATTTCCAATTTGTGGCTGTTTCAGGTTTAAAGTGATAAAACCTCGTAATTAAAAGGGATTTGCATGTTTTCACTGATGTTTCACCATTAAAATCCTGAATAGGATTAGTGATAGAACAAAGTCAATAGCAGCAAGAAGCCTTAAAGCATTTCATGTAAATATTGTGATCATTTTTTCAACACAGGACAAACTAGTTGGACCGCTCAGCCATTGTTTTAATCAGATATGACACAGACCAGTTGTTATGCATCAGTTAATTTTAATGACACATGTTGGCAACAACAGAACATACCAGATTATCATCTCAACGTCACGCTTTCCAAAGCAGTGTGTGCCACACTCTAAGAATTCTGGTTTAAATTCAAAGCCATTCTTTACGTAAAGTTGCAGGCTGAACTTTAACTTTAAACATATATTAAAATGTTGATTTTGTTTCAATAACCTTGTTCTTATCTTTTAGGTTAATTTCATTGACAAATTGTATTCATTAAGAGAAAAGTAAAAATGTAAGAATTTCTGTGGAACTGTGCAATACCATGCTTTAAAGTGTCCCAAGTATCAATAAACTATTTCGAAAGAAAAAAAATCATATTAAAATTTCAAATTAAAATAAATATACATCTACTCTTGAAAAAGCCTCTTTTTAAAGTACCGCTTCTTTAATGGTTAGGACAGTCATCTGTCTCAACTCAGGATCTGCCACTCACCTTCCAAGGCTTTAACAATTTTCCGTAACAAAGCAATTTTCCGTAACTTTACTCTGAATAAAACAGGTTGTGAACATATCCATTTGGAGGTCTGAGTAGCCAAATGATACAATGAAAACACAGAATAATGTGGACACAGCCTTGACTACTACTAGTACCACAAAAAAAGGGCACACAAAGGTGAGACTCATGGTGTCTTATAGGCATGGTGATAGGATCGTCTTCACAGCTACAGGCTCTGGTCTGTTTTTTTTTTTTCCTTTGTTGAAACCAGGACCTCATCTGACTCCAGGCTTAGTATCTTGCGGTTTTATATTTCTTTGAATCTGTGTCACAAACAAAACACAAGTTAGCCTTTAAAACACAGTGACTTATAGGAGTTCAGACAGAGATTCACATACAGTACGTACAAATACACACATATGTAACTGTACACTTTAACATGTTAAAACCATGATCTTCAATGTAGTTTGCTGGATTTTTATTTCTTAAGACTAAAGCAAAATTGTTAATAAAATACAGAAAATCTGATACCCCTAAATAAAATCCAGTGCAACTAACTGCCATCAGAAGTCATGCAATTAGTTAATAGAGCTCACATGCGAGTAAATGAATTGAAGTTGGATGGAGCTAGAGGAGTGGGGGGGGAAATACAAATGAATATGACTCTTTTCAGATTTAAATCTGTAAAACAGAATGTAGAAAACTGACAATATTAGATGAAATATCCCATAATTTTTGCTTTGTGATAATCTACCTCATAATAATCCAATAAAATACTCTGGAGAATGTGGTTGAGGCGTGACAAATCGTTTAAATGTACAACAATGCGGTGTAGTGGAACTGCAGAGTTTGGATTACCGCTGAGGGATGCAGATGCCGTCCCAGAAACGATAGGAGGCGTCGCCATATTAACCCGCTGCCCAAAAACATGAAGCCTGTTACCAGCCAGAAAGCACGAGGGTCCTGTGATGAACAAAGATAAGCAGACACTTAACAGATAAACAATTTCAACTTTAAGGCATGATTAACAGCAGAATGACTCACATCTTCAAAAGCCGTTGTTAAATTCATTCCAAAAGCCACCCCGATGAGCCCAAACAAGGTCAAGGAGAAGGAACCCATAGTCAGCTGCAGATTCAGACGCATCATCACATTACGATGGCTACAGTAGGAAAGACATAGTTACATGCAGTTTTATGTCACGTGAACTGTAAATATTTTCACAATTTTTCTGAAGAATCAAAGGAAGAAAGGCAAAGTGGACAGAACAGCAGTTTCTTATTGTGCTGACATGTCACTTTCTCTGGACATGGTTGTACATGTAACATTTTAAAATGATGTCTAATCAGGGCGTGTACCTGTCCAGATTGATAAAGATGACACTCTCTGAGTCGTCTATCAGTCCCTTGAGCTCTCTGGTCTTGTTGGCGAGCTCCTCGGCCTGTAGGCAATGAAGAGATTATGATCTGAACGGAGTCATGGCCAAAACTGAAAACATCCTCTGTTTAATTAGGTTTCCTGTTTCAGATCAAACCAGAAATCATCTGGTCCACCCTGAAAATTAAAGATAACTGGATAAAATCCTAGATGAAAACAGTAACTGAGATACATTGTGTCATTAACATGGAGTTAAGGTCTGAGCTTTGTTTTCCACAGAGCAACATCATCATTCTTTTTGTCTTCCAGGATTCATTTGTTGATTAGCATCTTTTGTCTTAGTTTCTTTTTGTCTAATTGTCTCACTGATGTTCTCATTTTACTGAACAGAACGAGTTAATGACAGGTCCAGCCCAAAGCATCATCCCTCTACTGCAACTCTCAAAAACTATTAAAAAGTTGTTTTTGCCGACAAGCTGTGTTTAGTTCAAATCAAAAACAGTTCTGTAAATTACAAACAACTTAAATTTGGAGTTGTCTGTTTAAGTGACATTCTTCTAATCATCTCTGAATCAGAGAAAGCATTCAAAAGCAAAATCACAGCTTCTGGAAGAACCATATTTGAGTGCTTACAGTACTGATTAACTGACAAGCGATAAGATCCTAACTGTTTGGAAATGTCATTTCAATCCTGTCCAGACTGCTGGGATATGTTTATGAACACCTAAATGCTTCAGATGAGGGCAATTGGACTCATTCTTGAGGACTTACATGAATCTCAATAGTCAGAAGCAATGTTTTTTTTTCCACAAGAAGTTAATTAGTCTCAGGCTGTGAATTGTAATTACTAATAAAAAATATTTTCATCACTGAGAAAGACTGTCCACATAGTTGAGAACTACTAAACAAGAAAAGCTTTTGAGCATCTTGGAAGGCAAATCCAATTTGTCAGCAAAATGTGCGTTTCATTTGTCATTATTTGGCAACGCAAAAAGTGCTGCATGTTTTCTCACTACAGCTGACCCTCCCACAAGTGCAGCTGGTGCACACTCATCCCTGAGCCACAAGCTGCATTGAACTGTCATATATGTAGTGTGACTGGTGATCTATGAATCATTCATTGCAGATATTGAATATTGCATGTAGCCTGTTGGGACACTTTATTCATGGCAACTGGCATCAGTTTAGTTTTTTGAAACTGAGCCTGTTCATATGCGTCTCTATGGTGGCACATCCAACTCAGCAATAGTTAGCACTTTTCAGAAAAAAATACTTTTCTTTCTTAAATATAAATGTATCAAAAACAAGTTATACATGTAGAAGTCTATCAATTGTTAATTTTTTTCTGTGTTTTGCCTTTTGTTTAAAAGTAAATTAATCTAAATTTTAGTCCAAAAAATATATGTTTTAACATTTGTTATTTATGTTAAAAAGTCAAGGCAAAGTTTATTTAAACAACCTCCGCTGGCCAAAGTGCTTCACAACAAACACAACATCAAAAGTAGATAAATGATAAAATAGAAATAAAATTAAGTTAAAAAAAAAAAAAAAAAAGCACAGCTACCTGCATGTAGTAATTCTCAAGTAAATGCTCCATCTCCTCACAGTGGTCAATAGCCAAATTGCTATCCTCACTAAAAAGCAGAAACAAACATACATATATTTATCATTTAAGCATAAAAAACATTTAAGGTGCGGCAAAATGAACCTTATCAAGAAAGAAAATGTTGCAATATGGCATTAAAATGTACTTTCACTTTTCCAGTATCTATTATAAAATATTCATCGCTAGCAAAAATTTTAAATTTGTGGCATCTATTTACATTGACAATTACCTTCAGTCACTTAATTGGTGAATATAGTCCAGCTCAGTTTAGCATGGCAAAACTATAAACAGGGCATCAGCAGGTTTCGGTAAGTCAGATTTAATACTTTTTAAGACCTTTTCAAAGCCACCGTGAATAAAACACAAGACTGAAAAAACAGTAAGTGGAGGGGATAATTGGGGGATCCTGCTGGCTTGTATGGGCAAACAACAAACATACATGAGGGAGTGGCAAAAACAAACATCATCCAGCCTACTGGTGATATTTGCCCTTTCACATGATAGATGCAAAAAAGCTGGTTACTATCTGCCTCGAGTCACAGAACAAAAAAACAGAAAAATAAAAATTTTTCCTTGATACTTTTGCTATGCCTTTTGTCAGTCTATCAAAAATAAAATAACATCCAATTGATTCCTGATGTGTGAAAACAGTGAAAATCCAACTTTGTGATTGATCAAAATTTTTCTTTTGTTTTGTTTTCACAGAAACTAATTTAAACACTGTCCTTTTAGAATGATCAGAAATCGATTTCAGCATTTAGAAACATAAATGAAATTACACAAGAACATACAAAATTCTTGGATCTGTCCATTTGGTAAGACACAATTGCTCAATCATCGCATCCTCGTCCAGGATTTTCAGCAAGGACTCCTTGAAAACTTTAATGTCTGTTTCCAACTCAGACAAGCTGCCAGACAGAAGATAGTAAGTCAGGTTAAAACATAAAATGTCTCAATGTTTTGGCTCCAACTCTGTCATCTGACTGTGCTCTTTACCTCTTGCTGCTCTGCAGCAGAATATGCAGCTTACTTCTATCCGCAGAAACGATTTTAGGATCCACGAGCGACTCCAAGGTGTCCAGTATGCTCGGTTTGACATCGTCCAACCAAGTTTTCAATGTGTTTACCTGTTGACACAGATCTATGAGGACACACGCACAAACACAAGGTTCCTGTTATTTTGAATGAGAGCATAAAGCATGTGGAACCTTGTGCTGCAGGATGGCCTCCAGTGCTCTAAACTCAAAGGGCAGAGAGTGCGTCTGTGATGCTAGCTGAGGGCCGAGCTCCAGGACCAGCCAGCGTTCCAGACTCAAACCACGATAATCCAGCACCAAAAGCGACTCTTGGGTCAGGATAACTTTCAAAGACTGAAGAGAAAATATTTTGAATTAATTAAAACTTGTAATGTTTTTACATAAGGTGCAGATGCTTTTTTTTTTTTTAAGCGATTTTATCTGCATGTTGTGGATATGTTGTAGTCTGGCCAGATGTGTATTTTAAAGTCTGTCCTTTCAAGAGTTGACTCTGATCTGTAAATATTTGCAGCGAGCAGCCAGATCAATAAAACCTTACTGATTCTCTATAGGTCTGAGTTTGAGGCTGGGGATGTTCGGTGTATCGGTATATCACACTCTGCAGAAGTAGATCTGACTACTCTGATAAAGCACTGAGGGCTGTCAACACATCAGGTAAAGAACAAGGCGTTGGATCACAACTTTTGTTACTTTTCTTTATGTTTGGCTTGCAGCTGAAAGGTTATTATCCAATAGTTTTTCTTGGCTGCAGGATGGTTGTGAAACTGCTGTTCCTTTGGCTGTTGTTCTGTCTGAGCTGGGCCCAGGAACAAAGGTGCCTGCAGTCCACCTCCAGCTGCGATGAGTGCATCCAGGCCGGCTCTGGCTGTGCTTGGTGCAACTCCCCTCAAGCTCACATTCGTTGTGCGACAACAGAAAAGCTGCGGAGCACTGGCTGTCATGGGAGGCACATATATAACCCTTCTGGCAGCATCCAAGTGGTAAAAAATGATAGTGGGTAAGCATCCTAACTTATACAATAACCATAAGCAACTTTAATTGGGTTAAATGTGGAAGCAAAAATTATTTCCTTTTGTAATTTTCCAGTTGCACATTTCAATAGTTTCCATGTTAATATGCACTGACGAAACTTATTAGGACGAGCAATATAAGCTGAAATATACTAAACCACTGGCTTTTTGTTGATAAAAAAATTCTTGGAAAAATTATGATTTCTGCAGTCTAAAAAAATCTACAGTTACCTTTTAGTGTTCTTTTCAATACAAACAAAAACTTTTATGTACTTTATTTAGATGTGTGATGAATCAACATAAAGTGAAGATACAGAAGATGGAAAATAAAAATAAAAATATGAACAATGTGGTGTGAATTTGCATATGTCCCACTTTCTGCTGGTTGCTCTTAGTGTTTGTTGCTACCAGTTTTTTCACATCTAGACATTGAAATTATTCCATATTTTTCCATGCAAAACAGCTCTAGCTCAGTCAAACTGAATGTTGCCGCAAATTCTCTGTGATATTTAGTTCTGAACTGTAACTGGGCCTTCCTACCATATCACTATGGTTTGATCTAAACGTTCCCATTGCAGCTCTGTCTTTTGCAGATTCAAACGTAATTATTTTTTGTGCAAGACTGTCTTCCAGTTAGCTCCATTCATCCTCTAGTCAACTGATCAACTTTTCTTTCCCGGCTGAAAATAAGACACTGCCACAACCACGTGCCACAGGGGTCATATTACATTCAGAGTGAAGTACACTTTCCCAGAATGCAGTTGTGAATGTGAGTCAAAGGTTTACCTTTAGCCTCATCTGACTATTGGAGGCCTTTACAGAACAGTTGTACATATACTGAGATTACACACGCGTGGACACTTGGACTTTTGAAGGCAATTGGTTATACTATATTTATTTAAGAATATCACTCTATATAACGGTGAATACAAAGGCATACCACATGTTTTTAGGTTTTATTTTGGAAGCATCATTTTTCATCCAGGAATAATAGTATGATTACTTCCAGAAGGTGCCTTTTATATTCTGACAAATGATTTCCAGCAGGGTTGATCCAGCAGGTGCTGAAGCCTCACTCCTGTGGCCCCAGGAGGTCTTCCTCCACCTGAGGCCAGGAGTTAGCGAGTCTTTTCCTCTCACCATCTCCAAAGCAACAGACCACCCTACACAAGAGCCAATTATGGACCTCAGTAATGTTCCAGCTGGAGTTCATGTCACATTCAGCAGCATAACCAAAGGAAACCCGCAGCTCTTACAGGTCAGAAAGGTAATGCAGAATAATGTGCTGAGGACAGTTTAACAATATTCATAGCTATTTCTCAATGTAGGTGAGTGTGGAAGCTGCCCAGTGTCCCAGTAAGAGTGGAACCTCAAACCAGAACAGAACTGGACCCTGGTCCATTCTTATCACACCTAGAGGGTTTTCAGTGAGCCTCAAACTAGAGTTAACATTGCTATGTAAGCAGTCAGAAAGCATCTCTGTTTATAACCTGGTAAAAAATGTTCTGTTACTGAATTAATATTGCTTCCCACAGGTGAGTGTAACTGCACTGGAAGCCATGAGGAAAACAGCCCTGACTGCAGCGGTCATGGGAGTCTGGTCTGTGGCCAATGTGAGTGCTATGTGCCTTATTTTGGGAAACAATGCCAGATGAATGGCGACTCCATCTCACAATATGAAGATCTGTGCCGCACGGGCCCAAACGCCCCGGTGTGCAGCGGCAGGGGCACCTGTGTGGAGGGTTTCTGTGAGTGCAACAGGCGGGCAGATCCAACAGAGACATACAGTGGACGATACTGTGAGTGCAGCAACTTTGACTGTCCATACCATAACAACAGGTACAGTACCACCAGAAAAGGTCTCCTTTTCATCAGTATCAAACACAACATTTTCAATGCATTCCTGATAAAGATGTGCAAAAAGGAAAGAACATGTGGTGATATTTTACCACCGTGTTATAATCTCAAGACGAAAATTAAAGAAAAATACTAATTTTAATTTCAGTATATGATTATTTTTAATAAGATCCCCCTGCAATCAATACTTTGCTCAACCTTTTGCCTGCAGGATGGCACTTGGTTATTTCCTACAACATTTTCAAAGGTTGGAGCATAGAGAGGGAGCCAGGGGGGTTACTACTGCTCTTTGAACAGTCTCTAGATCATCCACTGTCTTGGCTCCTCTCTTATTACATCTTCTCCTCAGAACACCTAAAGAGTTGTCCGATTGGTTTAGATTTGTAAACTATGATGACCATTTTGTGTCTGATGACCATTTTGGTCAATTTCACAAGATTTACTTTAATCATTTTCTTTTTAAAAAAATCTGTATGATGGCCCACATCATACAGATCTCGATGTTAGAGGTTTTCATTTAAAGCTGAATTGAACTTTAAAGAGCTTTAACAAGGTCATCAGAGCTTTGGGATTATAAACGGATCCTCCACCACTTTCTACAGTTTCATTCTTTGCCTCGCCCCAAACTCACCTGCAGTTTTTCTTAATGAAAATCTCAATGTTCAGGTAGGACCCAAACAAGCAGTTACCACACTGAACCATCACACAGTGTCTTCATCATTCTAAAGCCCAACAGCAGAAATTAACTTGTGGTTCTTTTAATTAGCTTTAAAATAAACTAATTTCATTCAGTAAGACATATAAAAAACTTGAAAGGTGATCAATTTTTTAAAAGGTCATGAAGGTTTTGCAGCTCTGGTCAGATTGAGGGTTAAATGGCTCTTTAACAAGCTGTGTTTTGGCCACAGACGACGTTGTGTCAAGTTGAGTAGTGGATTTCTCTCCATTTCTCCCCATGAGATGAGGCTTTATTTTAAAGTTTGTTATGTTTTTACACATCTTTACCAGGACTGAAAATAAGTGTGGCTGCCACTGTAGTTTTAGAACCGATGCCAAAAAGAATGACGTTGAAACATTTCTATTTACCAGACTCTGCGGAGGCAATGGGAGGTGTGAATGTGGGAGGTGTCTGTGTAACAGTGAGTGGATCGGCAGTGCTTGCAGCTGCTCCATGGAAACCGCTTCCTGTATGGCCAAAAACCAAATGCTGTGCAACGGCAGAGGGGTGTGTGAATGTGGAAAGTGTCGTTGTATACCACCGTATGTCGGTGCGACCTGTGAGGAATGCCCTACTTGTGTGGGCAAATGTCAGGATCATGCTGCGTGTATGGAGTGCTGAGCGTTTCGAACCGGAGCAAAAAAGGACACGTGAGAACCGATATTTATCTTACATCACCTGAATGGCATGAAACGTTGTGTGCACTGCTGTATGGAAGAGTTGAACCAGTTTCTTAATGAGGTGCTAGTTTTAATCATATTTCAATAACTTGGATCTGCTTTTTTCCTCAGCTGCAACAGACAGTGTGCCGACCTCAATGTTGAAATCGTTGAGACAAAAGATGAGCTTCAGGGAAACCTGTGTAAAATAAGGACGGTTGAGGACCTTTGCTACTTCTTCTTCTCAATCCTGCCCTCTAGTGGACAGTTTGCTGTTGCTCGAGCTAAAGAGTGCTGATCAACCGTGGCTTTTATGTTTATCTGTTAAACTGAACCTGTTTGGGCAGCCTAATACTAATAAATCTATTCACAGTATGTATAATTTACTTTTCTGTTTTTCTGATGAACATGATTAGAAAGAGAATGTCTAGAAATAAGGAAGAGAACGTACGCCCATTCGTATGATGATGCAGTTGTTTCTGGTGCTGAAGCTGGTGCTGTGTTGGAAGCGAAGGTCTCTGGCCTGAAGCTGAAGCTCCTGGCAAAGTTCTGTCTTCTTCTTTTCTGGAAAATAAAAAGGCATCGCAGGAGAAATGTCTGTTATCAATATTTTATACATTTTAGCAACATTTTTATGCTTCGTAAACTGTTTCACATTTTGGGATTTTACATGGAACTAAGCACAAAGTAGAACAAATGAGGAAAAACAAGGGTTTGTGTGGTTACATTTGATATAAAGTGTGATATGCAAATATACTCAAAGAAACTAAAATGTAGTTTCATACAAGACATTGTAAGAAACTAGTCATTTCATAAAGAAGCTTTCTGTCACAGGGCTGGAAAAGGATTCACCCATAAAAGAATAATATTTGAGATTTTGGCCAGCACTGAAAATGAAATACATCATAACCTTTATGAAACACAATGATGGCAGCATTATGCTGTCCCAACAGGCTGAGACGTCCAGTCAAAGCTACAATAGACATGTCAGAATTCATGTCTTTGTCATGTCTTTGAATGAAAATTTTGAAACTGCAACTCCCAGGAGTTCTTCAAGTAATCTGGCTGAACTTTCGCTCTTTTGTAAAAGAGAATGTCCCACAACACTGTAATGACAGGTGGCTCTATAAGGTGCTGACAAATTTTCCTTCCAACTTCCAACTATACATTACTTTGTGCTGATTTATCACATAAAACCCCAATAAAACACAAAATGTAGAATTTTGTGAATAACATACACACACAAAAAATGTTCATGAGTATGGATACTTTGTGTTTCTGGCTTAAGAAGTCTATATAGCTGGTATACTTAAATGACGTATGAATGATGCAAATCTACGAACCAATCATCAGTCTTCGTTGCAGAGATTTCCTAACACTTACCGAATGATGTCACATTTCCCTCCAGATCAAATTTCATCTGTTAAATAAATGGGACATAAAACTCGTTAATGACGTTAAGCAGGCCGGATGTAAACAGACATTTAAATTTATTTCCCCACTGAACATATGCAACTTCAAGGTCTTTTGTAAGTGCAATATCTATGAAACCCAATAGTGTGAGAGGTTTTTTTTAAAACATCATAATATCAAGTTTACCAGTAACCAACAGCAGTAATACCAGTTACACAACTCTTTGGAGTTGATTATCTCACCACATTGAAAGTTGGAGACACAGTGGACAGAGGGGCGTCAGTCACTCGGCTGCGCGCAGAGGACACTGGTAAAGCAAAAACACAACTACACTTTAAAGACAACACTTTTTTCATTCTTTGCTGATGTCTTTTCAATCACGGCAGGAACAAAACATGACCTTTGACAAACAGAATCTAAAAAGTATCACATTTTTTCATATCAGTCCATACCTTCACAACAAAGAAGAATTAAATACTTTCTTTACTGACTAAAATGTTGAAATACTGGCGACATACTGGGTGCTGGTTATTTCATAAAGGAGTTTTCTGAACCCACCATGAATGAGTTCAAACTCCCTTTGACAACTAATGTTTTATAATCAACATTTTCCCAGTAGTATTGACAATAAATAGGAAAAGTTGTTAGCACCAGTCTGTCACAAAGACCCGATTGTTTCCATCTCTTCAGTTGTATCAATAAAAAACCCAAACATAGTGAAGTTTAGCAGACAGATAGTATCCAAGCTACAACAAGGCAATTCCTGAAGAACTATAAGTTGGAAACTAGCCATATATGAGATGATCAACTCTGCATTTATTTATTTTTTCTCAAATACATAACCATCAGACAGTAGTGATCTGTTGTGAATAGTCCCATAAAGTCTGACACCTTTTCTGTTTGTCCATGTGTAGCTCACTTTTCTTTATTTTCAAGTCACAAACTGCAAAACAAAGCTAGAAACCTGGATGGACAAAAGGTAAGACAGCGAATACAATTCTAAAAAAAACATAGATTTTCAGGGTTTTTTTTTTAGATCAACAAAGCAAAACATGTTTCTAAACTGATACCAGTAACAAGACACCTCAGACTTAAAGGTGTCTCAGTTACCTGTAACTAAAGTGACTTAAGCTAATCTGTGCAACTCTTACCAGGCCAGGCTGCTCCTCCTCGCAGCAGGATGTCCTTCGTGGGCCCAGCAGACTGACACCCCCTATGCAGACTTCTTAGTAACACTGGCCTCTGATAACATGTGGAAGTAGAGTCAATATCCCCACAGCTCCTGCTGAGCAAGCCCGCCTTTCTACTACCAGCTTGTCCCAGCTGGTGTGTAACTGTGGGACCATTGAAGAGGATCAGAGTTTGACTCTCAGCAAATCGTGGGCAGAAGGAGCTGAAAACTCGTTTTCTAACAGATGCCATCCTGGAAGAGTTCATGCAGCCAGCAAACAGCAGCAGTCGGTGCAACTTTACCTCCATCACAACCAAACATAGACTGAAGGAGGCTGAAAATGCTACTGGAGAAACACACACAGGGCAGCATCAGCCTCCATAAAAAAGAGGAATGAAAATACTGGAGTCATCTCCGGAGTTGTCCAAACTGGTAAGAGCCTATTGCCTATAGGAAAGTCGTAGCAATAACTTTGGATTAAACTCAGTCAGTGTACTGGTCTACCTTCCTCTCAATGTTTTCACGACGTGCTCTGGACTTCCGCTTGTACCTGCAAACTCTTCGTGTGTACCTTTTGTCCGTCCTGAGAAGAAACAACACCTCCAGGAAGACAAGCTGGACACACGCCGCTAACTATCGGCTCTCTCGGCTGAAAACGTGAGGCTACTTCTCCCAGAGAACAACCCCTCCTCCAAGCTAGCAGGCTAGCAAGAGCACCCTCCACAATGCACCGCGGAGTGCAAAGATCGTCTCTACTGAAGACAATCACTCTGTAGGTACTGAGATTTTAGCATATTTCGTTTAAAACCTAATATTATATCCAAATATCACACACACACACACACACACACACACACACACACACACACACACACACACACACACACACACACACACACACACACACACACACATATATATATATATATTATATATATATATATATATATATAATATATATATATATATATAAAATTGACAAATTTACTTGTATGTTTACGAGCGTTTCTCTCAAATTCCAATTGTTCAAGGAGGGTGTGCGCAGGCGCGAAGCATCAGCATCCCCAGGTCTGCTGGATGAAGACCTAACCGGAAGGATGCTGCGAGTCGGGAGGAAGTCGTGCGGATTGTGTTTTTTGACGCCGTGACACTTTGCGCCCTTTTCTCTTGGTGTCGAACGCCATTGTTCCCACCATGTTCCCATCCTGTTACTCCAAACCCGCAGACAGCGGAGGCAAGAGGAGCTCCGTCGCTAAACTGCTGCTGGGAGTGTTCGTGGTGTATATGCTGCACACCGCCTGGCTGCTGTACGGCTTCCTCAACACCAAACCCTGCGATGGAGGCAGGGAGAGCCCTGCATTACTTCCTACCTGGCTGCCAAACCCAGACTGCAGGTTACTACAGGATTTTTATTCTTAATTGATCAAATCACGCAATATATGAACATCAGGCAGATTTATTTTAGCGCAACACACAATGCTATTTATCTACTTATGTAACATTTCTCTGCATAAAGCTCTCTTTCATGAAAATTAGACACTTAACTTCCTCTGTTTATCAGACATAATTAAGTTGAAATAAAATAAGAAACTAAGAAATGTTATCTATCTATAATAGATTCAATTTAGCTTTGAACCGCAAAATGTGTAAAGTGTCTGATTAAATGCACTGTACAGAAAAATGTTTCTCTGTAGAATAATCAGTCTGACTTCAACACCCATGATAGTTATATTTCTTTGTTTTTGGTTCAAAGGAGTCTTGCTTTTGTCTAGTTTTAAATCACTTTTTTTCCCACTATGTGCCTTTTTATTCAGATGAGTGTCTATACCTGCCTTGTGCCAGATAACAGCCAACTGACCCTCGCTCTAAGAGTCGACCTCTTTGACCCTCACTCTACGTTTGAGAGGTGGGTTTGACACAACAGAGCTTCCATAGCTTTCAAATGTCTCACATTTCAGTATCCTTTTTTGGGATTGTATGTAAATAAATACACAAAAGTCATATGTATTTGTGAAGTGGAAGGAAAAGGATGCATGGTTTCAACATTTCGTACAAATTAAAATCTTAAAATTGTTTTCAGCTTTGCGCAAATATTTTATTGAACCCCCTTTTTGAGCCTTTTAACAGCCAGCCTGTCAGCCTCGTTGGTTACACTGGGTTTTATTTTGGGTTGTCACAGTAAATTCATATTTATAATGTTACCACATTATAAAGGATTATAAGGATTTTCTTAGTAAAAAAAACCCAAAACACTCTACTTTGCTTCAGTTTCTATCACATAAATAAGAGCAAAATTAAAGACACTGAAGTAAACAGTGTTTTGGACATCTACCTAAAAGGGAGTGTTTTCAAGGAGTGTAAATACTTTTACCCATCATTTTGAACTTTGTATACAAAATCATGTTTGTTTTTTAAATAATTAGTTTAAAAAGATCTATATCCCACAAACAGCAGGATGTCTCCATGTTTCTCCAGACAGGTGAGCGTCTCTCTGCCGGAGGAGACTCAGAATAATGGCTCTCTGTACGCAGTTGTTTATGTTCACAAAGCCGGCGTTTCACCCCTGGAGGACCGGAGAGAAGTCCACTACGCTGCTCATCTCACCACATACATAACTCCTCCACGCACTAAAGGCCAGAAGGCCTCAATGAAGGTACTTCCTGGTGATAGTGTCTAACACCGTGTCCCAGTTCAACCTGATGTCACCGTGGCTTCACCAGAAATCAGATGTCTTTGTATTTCCACCAGAAGCGTGAATCTCAAAGGCCTGTATCGCACTGGAGACCGCACCTGTCCATCACTGTGATGTCGGAGGAGTTCAGCTTCAGCAAGGCGGGGCTTCCCAGTGACGTGCGACGATACATGAGAATGTAAGTGAGCAGGATTCACTGCTGCCACACATACTGGTCACTGCAGTGATGGAAAAACCGGGGCATCAAAAATGAAGTTACTGTTGTTAATAAATAAATCATGAACATTGAGTTTTCATTCAGCTCTGAAAACCTATAAGTCTTAAAGAAACACATAATCATCATTTATTGGATGGAAGGAGAAAAACTGTACTTCAAGATTTTATTTAGAATTAGCAAAGGTTTGTCTTTTTTTGTTGAAGAAATAGAACATAGTAACCCAAGTAATTTTTCAGCTCATGTGCAAAAACATTTTGAGCCTTTCACTCCTTCTTAGAACCTTTCTTCTTTCTCTCCTCTGCTTGCAGATCCCAGGAGGGCAGACGGATGACTTATCTGCCTCTGCTGCTGGTCAATGAGCTCAACTGCAGAGTTAAAGACCTCATGGTAGGACAGCGAACGCAGATTCTTATAGAATCACACATTTTTCTGTTTTCAGGTCAGACCGATTCCACACTTTTGTTCTGACAGGAGATCAACAGCAGCAGCGTGCAGCTCCCTCTAATTGTGTCCTACGAAGGAATATCTCTGAGGACGTTCAGGTTTTGGATCCACCTGCATGACATAGTTTATTCCCTCCGACAGTTTGGTGAGCCGGGGTGGAAGTTGTGTTTTTCTAAGATATGGAATGAGGCTGTTGACGCGTCTGAAATCATTTCATTGTAATGAATTGTTCTACGTTTCTCCAAAGGTTTCACTGAGGAGAATATTGATGAGATTAAAGAGACTTTAATAGGATCCAACCTTTACCTGCTGGTGCTGACTGCACTCATCACGTCTCTGCAAGTGAGAGCACACAACATAAGTGCAAAGGAATGCTTTTGAGAGAATGCTTCATGCACTTTGAACTTATTCAAATTAAATCCCGTTATAGTGAACTTAGCTTTATTGCTACTGTGATTTTAGATGATGGACCAACACAATGTAGTGTGTGACAAACAAAATCTGAAAAGTGTGGCAAGGATTTGTGTTCAGCAGCAGATTAGTTTGCTTACGATTTGTTATACACGTCCACATCATAGTGTTGAGAATTATTGGAAAATATTTAAACTTTAACTTCACATTTCTCTGACTATTTCTTGGCCTACTGCCTGAAATCTCAACAAAATACATCAAGGTTTGTGGTAACATATATGACAAAAAGAGAAAATGTTTAAGAGGTATAAATATTTTTGAAAGGAATTAATAGATACCTCTGAGGATTAGTATTTCAAGTCTTACATGTTCTAAATGAATGTAACATCCAAATGCATTAAAAATATACCCGTTTTAATTCATGGCGATAACTTTCTAATTTGCAGCTCATTTGTGAATTTCTGGCTCTGAAAAATGACGTATTTTCGTGGGCGAAAAAGAAGAGCATGGTGGGAATGTCGAGGAAGTCAGGTCGTTTTTATCTTCTTTTCCATATTCGAAACATTCTGACCAAACATCGACTGCAAATGAACGGCTGCATCGTTTCCTCTGTTCGATTTCCAGTTTTATGGCGCTGTCTCGGCACTTTGCTGATTTTCCTCCATCTGCTGGAGGAGACCAGTCTGCTGGTGCTCCTCCCTGTCGGACTGGGAGCGTGTGTCGAGGTACTCGCCATGGCTGCTTCCTTCGAACTAAACATAGTTACATCAAAGCAAAGCATCCTGAACTCAATAATCCTTCATCCCACCAGGTGTGGAAGGTGTTTAAAGTGTTTAAAATCCAGCTAAACAGGAAGTTTCACGTAAGCGTGCTGTTTCCCCTAAATAATATTTCACGTAGAAACGTTTTGAGCCTGTGAAAGCTTCCCCTAATCTCATCGCAGACAAACAAGCTGGATGAAGAGGAGCGAAAGACGGTGGAGTACGACACGCAGGTGATTTAAATAGTCTCTCTGAGCGCAGAGTTAATGATGTGCCTCAAGCTTTGTTTGATTTCAGTGCTTTGTGCTTTTCCCCCTGCAGGCCTCCAGATACTTGTCCTACTTGGTGTATCCTCTGTGCATCAGCGGAGCCATTTTCTCTCTGGGCTACATACGCCAAAAGAAGTGAGTTCATTCAGAGATTCACCTATCTGCTTCGATTCATAAGCATAAGGCCTCTTATCGGAAAACATTTAAATGCGTCATTCCAGTTCTCGGATAGATTTCTTTCCTTCGGGCTCTTTTGTTCAGCGACGAAGGAAATTTAGAAGTTAGGTTAAAATCAGAATTGAAAAATTGGTGGTAAGTTTTTTTTTTTTTTAGCAAACAGACTACATTTGTTGTACAAGTCTGAGGAATAACGAGTGCTCATTATATTCACTGTAAACTACGTTATGTTGACAGTTACTATTCTTGGCTGGTCAACACCTTGGTCACTGGTGAGTTTCTTAACTTTTGTCCACAGTCTGACTCCTCCAAGTCAGATCTTTATGTCTAACATGTTTTCCAGATGCACGTATTGTGCGTCGGATGTGTTGTGTAGATCATATCTTATGTGTTTGTTTTCCCCAGGTGTGTATGCACTTGGCTTCTTATCCATGGCTCCTCAGCTCTTCATCAACCACAAGGTCTGATAAGCCACAATCAGTTGAAGTCACATTCTCAATTTCCTCGTCAGCAGAAGTCATTCAGCAAAATCGTGACTAAATGATTCTGATGTTTTGCAGTACTTTGCATAAGAATTCACACTTCTTGAATTTCTTATTGCTTTACAACCTCAAACTTGTTTTCTTGAAATTTTATGTGATTAAGTAGAAGGAAAAAATAACTATTAAAAGTTTGGATTTGTATTCAGCCGGGCCTGCATGCTGTGCAGAAGAGATGTCTACCAGCTTTATGAACCTTTTGCACATTTGTCTTTGCAAAACAAATGTGCAAAACAATTTTAAGTCCTGACACAGATAAGATTTCGGATCTCACTTTGATCATTGTAGCACATTAATGGCCTCTGACCAGTTTTCCCACCTCTGCTGATGAAAAGCATCTTCACAGCATGATACTGCTACCAACAAGTTTCACATTGTGTGTAGTGTTTCAAAGGTAATTTGCTGTGTTGATTTTCATTCACACATTCTGTTTGGTTTATGGATAAAATAGATGCATCTGCATCAATCAGAGCGCTCGATCTAATTGCTCTGTTAGATTTCTAAAGCTTAGGATATTCTTCTTCTTTTTTTTTTGTTATAACCTAAACTTCTCCACTGCCTTATACCTGAGCTATCTGCTGTGGTTCTTGTTTTTTGTGATGTCATTTCCTCTAATATGCTTTGGAACTACTCAGAACAGCTGGATTTATACTGAAAGTAAATTGCATGCATGGCAACCTTGCATTAGATGTCATTTAGCTTTAATGAGACTGTAAGTCCACAGTTTTTAGCTTCTTATTTCTAGCATAAAAACATCTCAACAAAACAAACAAACAAAAAAGTGTAAATTTCACTTCATAAGTGTGCTTCTCATTTCTGGTTGTTTGTCACAAAATAATTCCAGTAAAATAAGGCAAAGTTTGTCATAACATGGTAGAAAGTGAAAATAAATCAAGAGGTATGAATACTTCAGCAAGGTACTATAAACTACTATAAAAAAGAGAATACTAACACATTTTTTTTTTCTGGCTGTCTAACAGTTGAAGTCTGTGAGCCACCTGCAGGGGGCAGTGTTGATGTACAGAGTGAGCACCTCCTTCATTTCCTATTACTAAAACATGCTGGCTACCAAGTTCCACAATGATGCACCTTTGAAATTCAACTTTTCAGAAGCTATAAATAATCTGCTTTCCTCACCAGGGGGTGAACACACTGATCTCAGATCTGTGCGCCTGCGCCTCCTTCTTCTCCTCATCTGTTCCTTTCACCTCCTCGCATCAGCTGTCCTGCTTCAGAGACGAGCTCCTCTTCTTCCTGTACCTCTTCCAGCGAAGGTAACCCTGACATGATTCAGCACAAACACAGAGAGCAAACTATGGCAGAATCAGAAACTATAGCTGCATTTGATAAAAGATATTTTTTTAGCTGTACTTCATAAACATGGATTATTGTGTAATGATTTCCCGCTGGCCTTCATCATTTTCACCAGACGTTGCTCTTCAATTCCTAAAAAAAGAGAGAGTGTTTCTAAGAAAGTGAAGACGCAGTGAATGAGAAGGACCAGCAGACATGTTGAAGAGCCAGTGGACGACACCGCAGACGGCCGTTTATCTCCGTTCAGCTGGGACCGATCGACCTCAAAGAAGGGAACAAGACAGGAACATCCACCTGGTGGACACAGACTGATCTGAGACCTGCGGTTTTTGCTTCTAGCTCTCCATGTGTGCATTTGCAGAGCTGATGCTTTTAATTCTTTAGTTAAACTTTCATGTTACTGCTGAAAAGCGTGAACACAGTCATGCAGAAAGGTTTCATTCTCCAGCTCCATCGATGGCATCGGTTCACCTCCTGTAGAGTTCTTTATTTTGCAGTGGTGTTGTAACAGATCAAGTATTGTTTGAACAATCACCTTTGGTTTGAAATAATAATCTCATAAAACAGATCCACTCTGGACACTTTAAAGTTTAGTAAGATCCATTTGTCATCGTTTTCTTTCTTGGTGAGTAAGCACTGGCGTTTGTATTATTCTGTCACGTAAAATCCCAATAAAATATGTTACTGTCTGGCCTTGATTGCTTTAGCTGAATAAATTTTTTTTGTCATTTTTCTCAGCTTGGGGAAAAGCTACAAAGAAACAAAGACCTCTGGGCCTGATTATGTAAGAATTGATGTAAGAGAACAAGAAAAAAGGAAGGCAGGAAATTGTCTGACTGGTTTCTTGGTTTATTTACATGTAAAACAAATGAATATCTGCATGACATCACTGACACTCCGCTTCAGGACACTGTTTCTTGGTAAACTCTTGAAAAGTGTGTTGTGCACATGTCCGCTCATCTGTTTAGCAAAATAAACAGGAGACACGAATGAGAGATGAGTCTGCTAAAAGAACGATATGATCACAAGAGCTGCTAAATCTCAATAGCTTAATAACTCAAGTCAATGAAAAGTTATGTGATTACTTAAAATGTGTCACTGTTAGATGTCACCTTCAAATAATGCCAAAAGTTGTCACTTCTGATTTGAATATTTTCCCCTAGGCGTTCTTGAAGTGCAGAAATGAAAAGTTAGACAACAACAATAATTTCCGCTGTGTCAATGGCAGCTGGTGAATAAAAGGCAAGTATCTATGAAACCGCAGCCACCATCGAGGAATGTCCTTCACAATGAGGCAACCTTTGGCTGGATGCCACCATGGTGGCTGGTGTGGGAGGATCTGCTTCAGCTGCTTGCATTAAAACAAACACCTGAAACTACTCAAACACACACACACCCAGACACGCAGAGCTGAACACAGCAAGTTTGACGGCAGACTGCAAACTTTATCAGAAGATGTTACTTAGCTTTATGATCCTCTTCTTCCTCTTGTCTCCAGGTATGTCTGCTGAATTTAATTGACTCTTACACGCACAAAGTAAAAAGAGGTTAAGACAAGTAGTTTATGAGCAGGAATCCTCAAAGGATCATTTCTGTGCAACAAACGCAATTTACTGTAAAATGCAGGTTGGGATGAGCTACCAGCAGCCTGGACTTCTCTCTCTTTTTTTTTTTTTACTGGGACTTTTCATCATTTTAATGTTCATCTTTCTGTTTATTCTCATATTAGATTGATTTAAGGAAAAGTCTCTTCACCTGGTGATTTGACAGTAAAAAAACTGACTCCCCTGACATTTCTGTCACTGCTTTTGCCTCAGTCGGCCTCAAGCTTCACAGTTCATTCTGCATCTTTTCTGGTGTCAGTTTTCCACAACATGCTGTGCAACGTCTGTCATGAAAAAACAAGGTGTTCGAATATTTTTGTACTTTGAAATAATCTTACACACTTGTTCTGATTTTTCTGAAACACACTTCCGTGCTTCAGATCGAACCTATTTTCATATCATATAAACAGAAAGTAGTTTTCAAATGAGTTTTCATTTATTAAGAAGAAAAAGCTGCAAACTTCAAATCAAGCTCGCTCTTTGCAAAATAATAACTGCTGCCCTGGTAACTTCATGTGATTAACCATAATTTTAGGTTTAATTTTTCTAGCTACATTGATTAGCAAATGAGATGCTGTCAGCGAGCATGATTCAGGCTTAAAGACCTCAAACAAAAGCACATCATGCCCAGAAATTTAATAACAAGATCAGAAGTAAAGTCACTGACATCTATCAGCCTGGAAAGTGTTATGAAGTCATCTTGAAGGCTGTAGCATTCCAGTGAACCAAGCTGTTTTCAGAGGAAGATGTTCATCTGTGGAAAATTGATACAATAAAATAAATTCAGCCAATCAAGAAACTTGGAAAGACCTTCAGAAAGCCAGGGGAACTATTGAACCAAGTCACTTTAAATAACCGGAGGCAAGACTGACTTCTTGGAAACAAAGGACTCAGGGATGACTCAGGATTTGTTTGCAGCTTTTCACATAATCAGGTTTGACAGCTGGAGAGCTGTCAAACCAGACACGGTGAAAGGATCACATGTGAAGTGTCCAAACTCCACGTGCAATTCTTCAATGTCCAGTCTTTAGATTCAGAATTTAACGTTTCTCTTGTTCAAGAGGATATAACTCCAGTTTTGAGTTTGAATCGATTTTGTTTAAATATTAGGATTAAATGCTGGAATCTGATGACACTCAAGGCGAGCAGAACTATGAACAGCACCGAAGCTGCTTATCAAACCAGCTGACCTGACCAGTTTCAGCATTGCTGTCAATGTTTTCAACGAATGTTCTTTAACTGTTTTGTTTGAATATCAAACCTGAAGTCAAGAAGACTTTCATCTAGGTAACGGAAACCAAGATTTGCAGATACAGGACAGAAAAAGTGGGGAATTACTTTACCCATTCCGTTTGTTGAATGCTAAAATAAAAATAAATGAAAATCTCCTTCAACTTCAAAAACATGGAACGACTTCACTAGTAGTATCTCCATTTTGTTGGGATGCCTTTCAACATTCCTGGAATATTACTCCATCACTAACCTGGCTTTATCTGTGGTTCCTGTCCAGCAACATCTCTGCAGTGCTATGTGTGCAGCTCCTCCACCACCAATGAAGAATGCAACCAGAACAGCCAGAAGTGTGGGCAGCCGCTCGACACCTGCATGACCATCGTGGACACTTTGGGTAATAATAATAATAATAATAATAATAAATGATAAAAATAAATGAGAGGTATTTGAACTGGACAATTTTTGTTAGATAAATTCTGAAGGTGAGTTGACTTTTTTTTGTGGTACTACAAAAAAAAAAGGAGATTAAAAACAAAAGCAAAAATAAAAATACATTGAAATTTGTGGTTTCGATGTGACAAATCTGTGACAACCTTGTGATTATAAGCATAATCAGAAGGTTGCTGTATGGTAACAGCTGCATGTGTTGCTCAGGTTACATGAAAGCCATCGTGAAGCAATGTGCCAGCAGCTCCACATGCAAGGGGGCAGCCTCCACCGCCTCAGTGGACGCAGACGGAAACGGAAACACCATCAACTGCTGCAGCTACGACATGTGCAACATGAGCGCAGCGGACTCTGTTCACTCACACACGGCGCTGCTGCTGCTGACTGGAGGCGTTTTACTGCTGCTGACGCACTGAGGCCAACCAGAGGCTGGTCTAAACAAATCATGTAAATACTGTAAATCTATGAAAATGTATTTTATATATATAAATATATATTCTAAGATGTATCACAAGTACAGGTGTAAAAATTGTAATGTAAATCATCCTTCATGCCTTATTTATGACAAAGACACTCATTAAAATGTGAACATGACAACAACAAATTGCAAATTGCAACTAAATCAAATAAAAAAAATAAAATCAGAGCACTGACAAGAAAATCCAACTGATTTTCATCTCATCATTTTATTTTTCCTCCTATTTAACGAGATGGCAGATTCAGCCAAGAAGACAAAATAAAAACCAGTGTTTACTATTACGGGTTCTGTACAATTCATCAGTGATACACACCAGTATAGCTTACAATATACCAACATGAGCAGAATTACGCAACAACACTGAGATAAAATAGTTTCTGATGATTCTCTTTTTTGTCTTTTGTCATATGCGCATGTTTTGAAATATTTTAATCCACATCACACCCACATGTTCGATCTCCTTTCACTGCTGGTTGAACATGAGACGAACATTTGGGTTTATTCGGATTAAATCCATCAAAACAAGCGTTTTTTTTTCTTCTTCTTTTTAGGTGCTGTGCAAATATGCTCTTCTCCTTACCAGTATATCATGCTACACCAGTACGGTGGCCAGGATGTTTCCTGTCGTCACGCTGCAGGTGATCAGCGCAACAAGTTCCAGTCCGCATTTTCTCGTGGTTATGTTTACCTGTGAGACTGTTGCTAGGAGGGGCATTTTTAAAGTGTTGCACCTGACAGAAACGAGGGACTCACAAAGGTTCTGGGTGTTGGTTTGGTTTTGGCCCAGCAAAGTGCAGGTTTGGCGCCGCTGAAAGGATGATCGGAAACACGACGGCATAACGCAGGCTTTCCCGTGAGGAACATAGAGGGAGTAAATATCAGGAGGGAGTAAAGAGGAGTAGGTGCCTTACTTACATAATAAATAGGTTAAGACTAATGTATTTCACCATTGTTGCTCATCCCTCTTTCCTGGGATTGAAGTTACAGGAAGAAGACCGTCACTGCTTCAAAAACAACATATAAAACCATGGAGCCAGCCAGCCAACAAAACGAAAAGAATAGATTAAACTGGGAAGCTGAAAGTGTCCTGGAAGTGGTGGCGTGTCACCCAGACAGATTTGAATTCTTCACATTTAGAGTCTTTAAAACCAGCTCAGAGAAGAGCGGAGGAAGACCGGTGAGAAGCAAAGAGTCAGTCGAACAGAGGCGAAGGAAGAGGACAGTGTGCCGTTTCTCCAGGAAGTCTTGAATGGTAAATTCCTGTTCCTCCCTCTGTCTCCTCTGTAATTTGAGTTTATAAATAAAAGCTGGTGAGACAGAGGAAATACAGGAGAAGACAACAGGCTGCTGTTTCAGAGCAAACCCCATCTCTCTTGTTTAAAACGTCCGTATAAAGCAACATCTGGGACCGAATCAGAGCAGAAAATATCTCTGAGGTCTGATCTGCCAGATTTCTGTTTTCGCTGATTGGAAAGTTCAAAACAGAGGCCGGAAACTTCCGATTGACTTGAACAAAACACTCGCAGACGGCTGCTGGCTGAAGTCCACTCCCTCTGTTTGGTTTCACAGAGATATGTTTCAGATTAATCACAGTCTAACCCGCCCTTCCCCTGATGTCAGCAGCTCAAGCTTAAAAATCTCTCCCAGGATAGTGTTTGATACCATTTGAAGCTTTTATAAACCTTGAGATCCAGCTTAAAAATCAACTCAGGTCACCTCCTCTGCCAGGGGAGCAGCCAAGTCTCTGATTCAGGAAGTGTTTCTGCTCTGATCTTTTATTAAATAAAGTCACAGTGGTTAAAGTAGGACTGAGGATAGTGATTGAACCAGACAGCAGCCATTGTCCACTCCTGCTGCTTCTGCCTGCTCTGAGGACTGACACACACAAGGTATCCACGTGTCTCTAGTTCTCCAACAGAAAGCGTAGAGGTGCTCGGTCTCCTGTAGAGGGGGCTAGTGAGGGCGGGAGTGGGCCATCATCCTCAGCCGCGACTGGTCGATGACGTCCAAGAGGTTCTTGGCGTCAACGGCGAGAGCGTGAGCCGCCGTCAGCATCTGCTTCTTGTAGTCTTGCTGGAGACTAAGATAAAAAAAAAAAAAACATATTTATTGGTGGAAATCCATGATTATATTAATGATAATGTGTTTCCAGATAATTTAGTCTACATGGAGAAAAGCAATGTTGCCTCATCGGCATAAAAGTCAGAAATTCTGGACAGATTTTAGCTGTTCTTCATCTAGAGGGGAAGAATCACACCACCAACCTCAAATAAATTAAACAGAAGTATTTGCCACATACGTTTGAACCTGATGTAGATTTTCACTAAAGTTCATAGGATTAATTTAATAACTCATTAAAGGACTGCAACTTGTAAAGAAAAGGACAATTTCTTTGATGTTTCCTTCTCCTTCCAATGCTGGCATTACCTTGTCATCACATATTGTTGGGCTAACTTCATCTTTCCAATCAGCTCTGCCAGGTCAGAGTTCAGCAGCTTCTGGGCCATCTCGATCTGTTAAAGGCACAGAGCATTAAAACGTCTGACACAAGTTATGTTTTCAGTCTGTTAGTGAAAGTGCAGCTGGTGTTTCCACCTCTCTGTGTGTGCTGGCTGGAAGTTGAGGTAGAGTCTCATCGACTGTGGCCAGTAGCGTCCTCAGAGCCAGACCCACATCCTGGAAACACATTTGAAGACTCATTCGGATAATGTTGAAAATATATTAAAAAGGGTTTACACAAATGTAGATGTGCAGGAACTAATGGGCTTTTACGGAGGACGTGAAATGGACGGGTGCGGCTCCATTACCTTCACCATTGGGACGTATTCTTCTGGAGGAGCCGGCTGAATCTTGCTCGACATCTCGATCACAGCTTTCACCAATCCCGTCACGTTCTCATACACTTTGTCATTGGAGCGGTCCAGATTGGCGGTGGGGGGTGGGCTTATCTCCTGAGGCTGCAGCTAAACAAGAGGAAAGTAAGAAAATTTAACAATAATAATGAGCGGTCGCCTCACTGGAAGAAGAAATATGAAGAAAGTGATCTGAAGAGGAATAAAATTATACAAAACACATCAAGACATTTCAAATTATTTATGTCTTTTTAAAAAAATAATGTTCTTGATATTTTAATACATATTATTAACTTTGAACCTGTTTTAGAAGTAGTTGGGTCTCTAATCTGTATGAATAAAAACACTGTTTTCATTGGACTAAGTGTGACCAGTTATATTTGTGGAACCGCCAGGCTTGTCAAAGAAGGAGTGGAAAATAGTATACAGAAATTCTTACTAAAGGGCAGTTTGAGAAATGATGCCTTCATTTCCTTTTGCAACGATTCCAAAGCATAGCAATCTTTCAGCTTAGTTTGGCATTTTAGACTCACATGAACCACAGTAGAACCTGAAATTGTCTTTGTAGTTTGAAGATGCATTTAGTTAGCAAGTCAAAAACTAAAATGCTGCAGGGAAACATAAAAAAATAAAAAATGAAGCATGTCAATTAAGCCTAAATCAACACAAAATTTATCCACATTTATCAAACTTCGTCGTCTATGACATAGTCTCTATCTGCTAAACTTAAAAGTAAGTTTGAGATGCAGAAGGAGAAACTGGAAAACTATAAACAGAAGAGACATACCGAATATTTTAATACAGTTTCCTATCTCTGCCACTAGATGGCAGTGTCACATCAGCTCTGTATGATGATGCGCTGAACCAAATCTACAGTCTTAAAAACTGATTCCAATATACTGATAATGCAGTTCATCTATTATGTTTGGCAACGTACTAATACAAACATTTAATAAAAATGAAGAATTTATTTTCATACATTTCATACTGAGTCACACTGTTTCAGTGTTTGTGTTTTCAGTGCTTCACAACTGAATATTTAAAGTATTTTTTATTATTCACAGTCTGCTGTAAGGAAATACTATAAAAATGATTTGCTTCATGCAAATACTCAATAATACCGCGATAGCTAATGTAAATAATTTTATAAATAGCAATCATAATCTTTGTTAAGCACAATAACTAATCAAAATATGAAACAACCAAGAGACAAACTAAAACTCAATAGTTCAACAAGTGGCCATTAATTTTAATTTTCTTTTTTTAATGGGTAAAATGTGGAAGTAGTTTGGGTCAAACTGCCAACTTTTCTGACAAACTCAATAAAAACAAAACAAAAAATATTAATTGGTAACTATGAAGGTTCTAAAGACAAAGAAAAATGAGACTTTTGTTAGTTAAAGTAAATTTCTTACAGAAGTGTTTCAACCAGAACTTCGTTAGGTTAAATCCACAAACGTGAGAGTTAGTTTGGAGGGAAAACAACAAAACTCAGCTACACTACACACACAGCAAGTAATGGAATGCACGTGTTATTTGTTAATAGTACAGAATGTGACTGAACGGAGAGAGAAGTGAGACAAGATGTACAGTGAACATACACAGACAGTGTGCAGCTTACCCGCCAGGGCTAGGGGTCAACAGTAAGGAGGAGAAGGAAGGGAGAGACGGAGCAGCCAAAGATAATAAGATAAAAAAAGGAAAATATTAACAGTTTTCAGCATTAAAAACATGCAATGTGTATATTTGAATCTTGCATGTGTGCATGCTGCTACAGTCATACAAGAGTTGAGATCACATGCTCTTATGGTTATTATTTCTTCACCTTAACACCATCATTGTAGCTGTCTCCAGTGTTTAGACAAGCCAGACTACCCACTTGACTCTGGGCCCCCGGTCGAGGAGGTTTTTTTGGGGGAACCACATGGTCTGCAAAAGAAAAACAAACAAAAAAACCCCCACCAAAACAAAATAAGGTTCAAGAACAAATCTAAATCTGGTGACAAAAAAGGGAATTATCACTCTGCTGTGAAACTATTTTGAAGCAAAGCTTTCAGAGCTGTGCTACTGAAGTTAGAGAACTGTGTGGTAATACAACAGTGCAGAAGTATTCATACCCTCAGAACCTTGCTGCAATATGTCATTTTACAACAATAAACATCAACATGTTAAGTTTTGATGTTTGATGTTTTTTAACCGGGACCGACCTCTGTTCAACTCTGTCAACTTCCATGTTCCTTCTTGACTTTGCAGGCAAATAAACGTGTTGAAGTTTTATCCCCCCCCAAAAAAACAAA